CACTGTCCTCCCCATCATACATTCCCAGGACAGGGACAGCACGGGGTCAGATACAGAGTAAAGCTCCCTCTACACTGTCCTCCCCATCATACATTCCCAGGACAGGGACAGCACGGGGTCAGATACAGAGTAAAGCTCCCTCTACACTGTCCTCCCCATCATACATTCCCAGGACAGGGACAGCACGGGGTCAGATACAGAGTAAAGCTCCCTCTACACTGTCCTCCCCATCATACATTCCCAGGACAGGGACAGCACGGGGTTAGATACAGAGTAAAGCTCCCTCCACACTGTTCCGCCCATCAAACATTCCCAGGACAGGGACAGCACAGGGTTAGATACAGAGTAAAGCTCCCTCTACACTGTTCCGCCCATCAAACACTCCCAGGACAGGGGCAGCACGGGATTACATACTGAGTAAAACTTCCCGTACACTGTCCCCCCATCAAACACTCGCAGTGATCTCCAGGGTGAGAGAGAGAGAAGGGGAATCAGACAGGGTTCCTGATGACTGTCCAAGGTTACAGAGAGAGTTGGAGGGACATTGAAATCTATAAACATGCTTGAACCACAGACTATGAAATTGCACTTTGGAGAGGTTTCAGCCCAGTGCTAGCCGCAGGAAGGCTCCCCCAGTCCAGGTCCACCCTGATAACACTGAGAAATTGAACTGCTGAAGTTAAACCTGTCTCTCTCTCTCTCTCTCTCTCACACACACACACACACACTCAGGGACTTACCCCACTGCAGAAAGCTGGCGATATTCGGATCCTTTCGGAGCGGGGAGCTGCTGAACTCATAGTAAAGGCACAGCAGCAGATCGAGCAGGCACTCCACACTCAGGCGGGGTTCCGCCTCTCCAAAACCAGGCGCTGCCTGCACCATCTGCTGCTCCAAATCCCGCAAACGCTCTTCAGCGGACATGGTCCCTGTCTCCCTGTCTGTCCCTCTCCAACCCCTCACACTTACCTCACTCTCACTCCCTGCCTCTGTATTTGTCTCCCCTTGACTCTCACTCTCTCTCTCTCTGTCTCTATTTTTCTTTTTTCTCTCACTCTCTCTCTCTCTCTCTCTCTCTCTATTTTTCTTTTTTCTCTCACTCTCTCTCTCTCTCTGTCTCTCTTTCTTTTACTTTTTTTTCTGTCTCTGTCTTTCACACACACTCACACCTGAGATATCTGACTGTCAGTCCCAATATCCAATCAGAGCCCCACAGCTGCAGGTAAATAAACAGTTCTCTCTCTCTTAAAGGTGCAGTTCAGCAGTTTTAGCATTCAAAGCTGTCGCCAAATCATTGTATTAAAACACACAGA